AGACAGAGCAAGAGAGCGAGAGCACTGGGGAGAAGGGGGGGACAGAGAGAGTGGGAGAAGGAGGCTCTCCACTGAGCAGGGAGCCCAAGGTGGGGCCTGATCTCAGGGTTCCAGAATCATGACCCGAGCCCAAGGCAGCCAATTAACTGACTGAGCCACCAGGCTCCCCTGTTTTTTGTTTTTAATCTGAGACAAATTAAATGTGCCAGCTCTCTAGGAAAATGACCAGTTCTAGGACTCTCCATATTCATCATGGTACCTTGCAAACAGTGAGCACTCAGTAAATATTTACTGATTTGGTGTATTACAAAGGAATTTTAGAGTCTCAATACCTACTTTTTGATGAAACTTGAAATATGAAGACATCTGCATTTTCAAATATATTTTTTCTTCTGAACAGATCCCATTGTTGCCCACAAAATCGAGCACTTGCATGTAGAGAACCTACCTAGCATTTCAGCCTACTTCAGCAATGCTTTTAGAAATTTTTGGACTGGGCTTTTTTCTTTTTTTCCACCTTAAATAAGTTCCAATGGAGTAGGTAATGACAGAGATCAGCACACCTTTTATAGGTTACTAATTAAATTAAGTCATCAACTAAAATTGACAGAGAAAGGCAGCAGAAGGAATGTTTAACCACACAGTGACGAAGCTCTGTATCTCAGGCTGTTCTTCCTAGCAGGACAGAGTCTTGAAATGGCAAAGCTCAATAAGCCTCACTTCTTAAAGGCCCCAAGCCTAATGAGTAAGACTGAAACACGTTCACATGCTTAAGACCAATTATTTAAAAACAAAAAACAAATAAAAAGCGACGAAACAAAAAAGCAAAACAAACAAAAAACCCCAACAAACCCAAAACACACACACACACAAATAAAACAGCTTACCCCGAGGATATAAGAAACACAATCAGAATGATTTTTTCTCTCAAAGTCTGTGCCCTGCAACCACATACTGCCTAATGTGTCTAATCAGCCTTTTGATATTATCTACTATTCTCTCTTCCTAACTTATGAAAAGTTCTTTCCTCATGTCTTTGGGAAGAAAAACAGCAGTCTAGTTTAAAAGTTCGTACAATCTTTGAACTAACGAACCAGCCAAGAAGGGGATTATTATTCCTGAAAGGAAATGTAAGTCTCTCAAATTGAAACCAGGCATTTCAAGTAAGCCATCAAGCTACAATATTTGCTTGCTACTGACCTGAGGAATGGCCTCTAAGAAAACAGAGAGCAAGACTTACTCTACACTCTGATCTTGGGCTATGTGGATGGTGACTCTTCACCTCATATGCCTTTCTTGGAACCTGAACTACACTAGACAAACACTGAGCCAATACATGTCTATATTTCCAAAAGTAGTTGTAATGGCACAATCAAGTAGAAGAATATAGATATGCATTATGATTTTACTTTCTTACATTGTGAATATTGTGATTAAGATGGATTAATATTGTGAATAAAACATGAAAATGCACGGAAAAAAATTCCAGTGATGATTTAATTTGTGCTAGCATAACTCAATGTTTACTTCTGATTTCATGACTATACAAAGATAAAAATATATATCTGCTTTTGATTAAGGCTCATTTGAAATAGTTCTGAAAGGATATGCCAAAATCCAAGTCCAGGGATTGACCAAAAAATAAAATAAAATGAGTATATATATGAGTGTGCGTATATATATAAAATTTAGTTACTTCATGTCTACATTCCCAAAGAAGGGAAAAGCCCTAGTTGCTGCTGAGTTTTTATAAAAGGTTATAAATTATACACACCCTGTGATTAAAGCTTTGTGAACTGCCCCAATGGCTACAGAAAATTAGTAGATTAAATCTATACTAGAGCTTCTGTTCTTAATGTAACTTAACTAAAATGTTTAATTTTCCTCATTAAAGACCATAAGTATATCAAATGTTTTCAGTTATGTTTGCCAAAATGATAAATTTGAAAGTCAGTCTGAATACTAGTTTGATAATTTTCCCCTTCAGATAGTCTGTATTTAGATTAAAATTAGAATAGAAAAAGTTTTTAGAAGCCCATAGCATTCACATTCTCAGATTCAGAACTCAACTGGACTTCTCTCCATATAGTAAAACTTCCTTGAGAAAGTTTTATAAACTGAAAATATTGCTAAATAAGAGGAAAATTTGCTAGAGCAAAATGAATAATCAAATATTTAAGATATGAAAACTTTGATCCTTTTCATATTTAAGTTTTTTTCTGAAGTGCCAATTTTTTTTTACTTTTAAAAAGTGGTATTTTAGGGGCACCTGGGTGGCTCAGTCAGTTGAGTGTTTCTTGGTTTGGGCTCAGGTCATGACCTCATGGTCATGAGATCAAGCCCAGTGTCCAGTCATGCTGACTTGAGATTCTCTCTCTGCCCCTCCTCTGGCTCGTGTGTGTGTGTGTGTGTGTGTGTGCGCGCGCGTGCGCGCACATGCCCGTATGCATTCTCTCTATCTAAAATAAATAAAATCTTTAAAAAAATAAAATAAAAAGTGGTATTTTAGAAGACATATAAATGACCAACAGGTATATGAAAAAAATGCTCATTGTCACCAAAATCAGGGAAATGCAAATCAAAACCACAATAAGATTCACCTCACATCTGCAAGGATGGCTATTAACAAAACAAAAAAAAAAGGAAAACAGGTGTTGAGAAGAACGTGGAGAAATTGGAACCCCTGCATGCTATTGGAGGGAATACAAAATGGGGCAGCTGCTATGGAAAACAGTATGGAACTTCCTCAAAAAATTAAATAGAACTACCATATGATTTTAAAATCCCATTTCTAGGTACTGATTGTAAAGAATTGAACAGGACCTCCAAGCAATATTAGCATTCACATGTTCATTGCAGTATTATTCACAATAGCCAAGATGTGGAAACAACCTAAATGTCCATGCACAGATGAATGGATAAAGAAAATGGAATGGCATACTGTTCAGCCTTAAAACAGAAGGAAATTCTACAATATATGACAACTTGGATGGACTTGAACATTCTGTTAAGTGAAATAAGCCAGTCACAGAAAGACAAATACTATGTGTTTCCACCTATATGAGGTATCTAAAACAGCCAAATTCACAGAATCAAAGAAGAATGATGGTTGCCAGGAACAAGGGAAGAGGATAATGGGGAGTTATTAATCAATGGGCATAAAGTTACAGTTGAGCAAGATGAATAGGCTTAATTAGAGGTCTGCAGTACAATGTTGTACCTATAGTTAACAATACAGTATGGAACACTTAAAAATTTGTGAGGAGGGTAGATCTGATGTTAAATGTTCTTACCACAGTAAAATAAAATAATTAATAGTCAATGCAAATTAAAGGAAGAATAGTAACCTATTTTCTATCCACTATATTAGCATAAGGTTTAAAAAGCAGTAACATTCATAGTTTAGGAAGATAAGTTATCCTCAAACTTTTTTCATTTGAATATGAGTTGCTACTAACTAGAGAAAATAATCTGGCAATGTATTAAAATTTAAAATATGCATACTTTTGAACCAGCAGTACTACTTTTGGAACTCTGTCCTGTCATAATCAAAAACACATGTATCTAAGGGCGCCTGGGTGGCTAAGATGGTTAAGCGTCTGCCTTCGGCTCAGGTCATGGTCCCAGGGTCCTGGGATCGAGTCCCGCATCGGGCTCCCTGCTCCTTGGGAGCCTGCTTCTCCCTCTGCCTCTCTCTCTCTCTGTCTCTCATGAATAAATAAATAAAATCTTTAAAAAAAAAACCAAAAAAACAAAAAAACAAAACACAAAAAACACATGTATCTAAGACAAATGTTTAAAGGTGTTTTGTTGAAGCATTTATTCTCATAGTAAAAGAGTCGAAATAACCTGTGTAACTATGATTAACCAATAAAATATAGTATCATTTGACCATAAAGAAAGTGATATTAATCCTTCTGTATAATGATTCAAATAAAGCCAAACTTTATTATATTGGTCTCTTCACTTTAAAAATGATAAAATCCTAGTAGCGAGCTGATAACATGAAGCTGTTTCATCTGCTTGAACACACTCTGTAGTCAGATGACAAATACGAAGATTCTGCTTCTCTTTTTCCTCTACACTCAATGTACAAAGTACAGTAAAGAAATTTTCCTTTTTCTTCACATCATACTCACTTTGCAATTGGGTACTCCCACATGTATCCCCAACCTCCATGGAGCTGGACACAGTCATAAGCTACACGGTTTTGTAACTCAGATGCCCTAGATGACCAAAATAAAAAGCAAAAAAGGAACATTTGAAATGGATTTTCACGAGGTGCTTCACAATCAGGAAACAAATTATTTCTGACTGCTTAAAGACATACATTTATCAAAAAATTACAATTAGACATATTAGCCAACCAGAGAAGATTGACATAAATTATATATGAAATAAATCTCTTGACAATTTTCACATAATGAATACTTTCCTCATCAATTAGTTCTGGCTGGGTTTTTGGTAAGGCTAGAAATAAAATGTGGAAAGCATAGACTATTAGGTTTGGGCTACTTTAGACCTGAAAAGGACAAAGTAAAAACGTGAATTTGGTCTAATTTATTTAGATTCTTTGTATGATCTAAGTAACTATATAGTTATACAACCATCTATTTCCTTTTGCCTTGTAATATGTCTTTTTCTCCAAAGATATCACTTCTACCTGAAGGTTGCAATTCTGAACTTCAGTAACTGTGAAAAAACTTTTTTTAGGGATTTTCAGAAATAAACTGAAAGTAAAAGTAAAAACCTAAGAGGGAAGACTACTATTAAGGTACGCACCATTATTTAGGAAACTTGTTAAAGATTATTTGGGCATTATTATTCCCAAAGTATCTGAAATACTTGAGAAATATTCTTGATCTTATCACAGTAATTTTAACTATCATTAAAATTCTTAAGATAACTCGCAGAGATTTTATTCATCTTAACATAAAAATATAAGTTCAAAATGCTTTTCAACATATTTTTTAACTTTTAAAGTAATGTCTGCCCGGGGGGCCTGGGTGGCTCAGTTGGTTAAGCAACTGCCTTCGGCTCAGGTCATGATCCTGGAGTCCCGCATCGGGCTCCCTGCTCAGCG